ATTTTTCCGCGCGCGCTTGTTTTTTCTGGTCGCGTAAGATTTGTTAAATAAAAGGGAACTCTTTAGCTACAATGTATCAATGTTATGTTATAAAACAACTGGTAAACACCACAGCGTACACTATTGAGTTATGGATGCACTTGGGAGGTTTGCTAAGCACTCAGGAAGCTGGAGTCGCTCTCGGCTATCGCCTTGCGCGACTCTTACGCTTCTTTCGTGCTTAGCAACCTCCCGCGTGCATCAATAACTGAATAGTGTACGCTGTGGTGTTTACCATTTGTTAAAGCGAACCCGACGTCATTGTTCTTGGGTTACACTGGTTGACATATACAAAACAATACAAATTTTATTCGCCTTTCATAAAGAGAGAGATAGTTTACATCCCAACATTAGTAAGTTTTACAATATTTGTTGTAAACGATATTTTGATAGATGGGAAGGGGACCTCCAGAAACCACGGGGCATATACAAGGGATGCCTACTTACTAAAAAAAGGAGAAAAATCGTGTACATGTAAGCGATACGCGTGCATTGGGAACATTTCATTTCTTTTTCCAAACCACTATTCCTAATGGTCAGTATATCTATCGATTTAGTGCCTACTTACTAAAAAAAGGGGGAAAATCATGTATATGTAAGCGATACGCGTTCATTGGGAGCATTTCTTTTTCCAAACCACTATTCGTAATAGTCAGTATATCTATCGATTTAGTGAAAACTTGGATGACATCTTTCAAAAGAAGCAAAATTTTCAGAATAGCTATCCCAATATCATTTATATACGTGAAGACGAACAAACGAATCTAAAAAGAACGGGCAAAGGGAACTTGAGCCCTTGCTTGTATTCTAACGCCACTCAGTTTCAATTTTGCGATCGAAATCTCTACCTCTCTTACTCTAACAGAGATGTCGTTCATTTGGAGATTTAAGTAGTTTAATAGGTTCATATGTTGCATACGACCTGCACATAGTTTGGATTTTAACAGCAATGTCGGAACCTTTCCCTAAATCTTTTTCGACCGTTTTTGTTATCTTAGGAGATCTCTGTTTAACCCTATTTAAACACATGTATGACTAAAAGAATATTTTTCCCGCTCTTCTCAGGAACATTATCAACGATCTAGTGATGGGGAAGATATGAGTAAAATCCCCAAAGAGGAAGATCCTTTCTGGGAACCTCCTGAAGATGTGCTGATAGGAACGGCAAGTGTGTTCCTACAGAGTCTCAGCTATGCTTTGGACTTCGACGACAAGCTCTCTATCACAGATTACAAGGTTAGTTCGTAAATAAAGATGATGAACAATTGTCACAAGCGTTGGACAAGGAAAACGAAGGGCATGTGCAGATAAGTCAAGTTTGGCCAACCGCGCGTTCATTTCCCGCGCAAAATTTTAAAGGAACGCACAGTAAATAATCATTTCGTGCTAATTTGACAAAAATTTAAAATCTGTGAAGGGAATTAAGAGTAGAGTAAAGGAAAACTGATGACTTTTTTAATACCAAGTTTAATTGATGACGAATATTCTATTGACTTACTTTTTCGCTTTGAGTTTTATTATATAAGGTATAAGCTTAAGCACAGATGTTTACATGCACCACCAACCCTTTACTATTTGTTTTCAATAAGTCATTGTATAGTAGCACGATTTATAGTTTATTGTAGACACCTTTTTTCTTTTCCCTTTCTGTTTGCAGGGTGAAGAAGTGGCAACCACCGTCATCAACGTGTCTCCTTGTAATCCCAATGGCAAACCACTAAATGAAGAGTTTTTTGTTGAGGATCCCTCTGAGCTTCTTGGAAAACCATATCACTTCAAGGTATGAGACAGCGATGGGAATTTTTATCATCAACCAGAGTAGCCCGGGCTTGTTACACACAGCCTTTCAGCTTTCTTTTAGCACTGATCTCGTGGCCGTAGATGTCAGTCAAATTTCACAACAGTGGGTTATTTCCTTTGCTCGTAGGAGTCCTTAGCGTCCGAATTCTCTTTACAATTTCAATACACTTCCAAGCTGCTCTGCAACAAGAAGTGAGAAAGTTGTCAAGTGGGGGATATTATTCTTCATATAACACCAAATCCTCAGTATTAGGCAACAAAAAATGTGTGGCTTCATTATCGCGAACGCGGAATGAAACGACATAAATACTTGGTAAATAGACGATAGACACTTGAAGAAACCAGATGAGGGTATAAAAAGCCAGTTCTTGATCAAGATTGCAAAGATTTAGTCGAATATATTACACACACGGTAGGCTTTTCTTTTCTGTAGTACACAGAATGCTGAGAAACGCCACGACTCCCGCAGTGCATCCTGGCTGAGCGTGACCCTTTAAGGGAATTAACTTAGATTTTTGAGGGAAAGAGGGTTTAAAAAATTTAGTCTTAAAAAAATCAGTCGTACGTCATACAATTTAATCACTTCAGTTTGCCTCTGAAGGAATCACTTTGAATGTATTTGTTGCGATCATTGTTTTGACTGTCAATTTATTAAAAATTGACAGTCAAATTGACAGTCAAATTGCGATCATTGACATTCGCTCCGACGAAGGGCTAACGCTCGAAACGTCAGCTTTTGTAATCATTACGGTGGCCAATTTACCATTTCAACTTTGTTGATATATCCAATTTATTAAAAATGTACTCGATCTTCAATGTTTTGATTGGTTTCGTTCTTAAAGGTGTTACATACATACATACATACATACATACATACATAAATACATACATACATACATACATAGTTTATTTGATAACGCAGGTTACAGAATACGCGAGACTGAAGTCCTGATGTGGACCTGCCTATCTACTATCTATCTACTATCTATCTAAGTTAAATAATAATTAAGAGTAATAATACATATATAAAAATATAAAACTATGAACTACAATTTAGGATAACATTAACCGCCTCCCGGTTAGCTCAATGGATAGAGCGCTGGACTGTTGTGCGGGAGGTCGAGGGTTCGAGCCCCGGCCGGACCAACACTCAAGGTCTTAAAATAATTGAGAAGAATATGCTACCTTTCTATAACATCAAGAAATGGTTAGATATTCTAGTCTTCTCGGATAGGGACGAATAAATGGAGGTCCTGTCTCCTGAAGGGTTAGGGGTAGGAGCCGTTAATTTCCCACGCACGAGATTACTGTGTGATGGATGTCCTCCCCTGGGGTTGGATGGGCGGTTTAGGATTGATTGTAAAGCGCTGTTGATCTGTCATTGTAAATAGCGCTCTATAAGTGATAAATTGTAATTGTAATTGTAATTGTAACCTTACAGTAGGGATTCGTACGGATAGTTAAGGCAATGTTATTTTTTCGTTAAGCAATAGTCGCGTTTGTTGTTATTCAGGTCTCCATTCGTAATGCTAACGTCCACGACAGCAGATTCAACAAGGGGTTGTACATCAGGTACAAACCGTTTAAAGAAACGGAATTTACTGTGACTAAAACAGTTAGAGACACGTTATCACCTGAGTTTGATGAAAAGGATTCGAAAGTGTTTGGTTTTGATTCGGTGAAACAAGAGCTGCTGGACTGGTTCGACTCCGGCTGTATCACCTTTCAACTCATGGGTCGCCAGGAGGACAGTGATCCGGACGTCACTCGAAAGAGAATGACAACAAAGGTATTTGAAGTTTGGGACATGTAAGGCCTTATTTAAAATTGGCGAGGGAGAAGTCAGCCACCGAGCCTGTTGGCTTATTCCGGTTTGCATGGCATTAAGCGAGTGGCAGTTTAAGTGCTCTCCTTGAATGTTTTTTTTTAGTCTATCACAGGTTACCCTTATGTATTTTCGTCAACTTTCCTTGGCTAGCCTGCCAGCAGGTCCAGATCCTCATCATCAGCGTTTCAGGACGCGAGTTTCTCTGCCCACGGAAAGATTAGAGACGAGTCGGGGAGAGATTTGCCGGGGGTCTGGCACCAATTATCAGTGCCAGATCCCTTGCAGTTTTCTCATCGGTTTGCGTTTCTCAAAGCCCCATTCTTTTCCGCGGACAAAGAAACGTACCTGACGAAGTGCAAAGATTTTAGGGCCGGCTGACAGGCTACTCCTTGATAGTCCACCGGTGCTCCTGATTGAGGAAATAAACTGCGAGATTAAAGCATAGAATGGACCACTTTCATAAATGGCTGCCGGATTAATATTCTTTTGTCTAAATTGAAATTAGCCCTTCAGGCCTCGTTCTCCAGTACAAAATTCAAAAGAATATATTATCTCAAGCGAGGCCAGAAGGGCTCATTTAAATTTAGACAAAAGAATATTAATCCGGCAGCCATTTATGAAAGTGGTCCATGAACACTAACGTAACAAGAATTTAAAAGTAAGATGATATTTTATTATTGTTTTATGATAGGAATTGCGCCAAATGGAAATGCAAATGGTGAGACCAGGTATGGGAGGTCGTTCCACCACCATGGTAGGACATGACATCGCTCCTGCTCAACTGAAAGCTGAACATATTCTGCTCAAGAGGAAAAACCAACTCCTGCTTAAGAAGGAAAAGCGCATTCAGGTAAATTCATCGAGGTATTGATCATTATCGGTACGTGTGCGAGGGTTTTGTGAGAGTACGAATGGCCGGTCGCCTGTGGAGAGGGGGGGGGAGTTTGAAGATTTTGGTCGTCCCCCCTTAGGCTCTGTAGTATTCTATTAATCATCCCTCGTCGGTAGTCAACTTTCTATACCCCCTCCCCCCCCCATTATACTCAGTTCGCGACGACTGATCCTCCCTCCGTCCCCCCTGAAAATCAGGGTCTGATTTTCAGGGGGGACGGTGGGAGGATCAGCTACAACGCAATGCAACAAGGAAAGAAAGCCTTTCAGAAATAAAAGCTACCTGTACCTGTGGCAAGCGTGAAAGCGAATTTCACTTACACCGAGCACGTGTTAAACTCTTGTTGAGCGCTTTTCCAATGCGTACTGAACACATGCGTAACCGCTGTTAAGCGCGTGTCCATTGTTGAGTTGTGCGCATGTGAAATCCTCTCTAAGCGCGTATCGGACCTTTGCTGAGCTGGAACCCGTGTTCGGTGCGCGATATCTATTACTTGATTGTCAGTGTAGAGTTGAAGAAATTGCTATTTTGCTTAATTATCGACAGGATCTGTGTCAGGAATGGGCCAACAAACCGAAGGAAGAACAGACATTTGAAGGTTTTCATCGGGCAGTGTCCGCGGCAGCTGCTCACCAGTACGGACGCACCAAGTACAAAGTCAACACGCTGATGGTGGTAAGTCAATCAGATGACCTTGTAACAAACTAGAACCTGTAACAAACTAGAACGGATCTCAGAAGTTCTCCTATATTATTCGCGGTGTTTTGTCTTCCCGTCTTGAAAACAAGCAGCCCTGCACACTTAATCTAAGATAAGCCCTTACCCTTGCTAAAAAGCAGTCAGGAATTAGGAAAAGACTCAATTTTTTTTAAAATTCTCTTTTGTTAGGCAAATTCAAAATATATTTCCTTCTTTTTCGATCAGTAGCTTTTAACTGCCGCAGGACTAAGAAATACATCACGGATACTGTTGAGATATACCCGGAATGTTTTGTTTTAGCTATATGCCGATTAACGATATCTAAATTCTCGTTTTCAAATCTCTAGTCTGGAACTGAGATTTACTAAATTGATGCATCCCCCGCCATTATCATTTATTATGTCTTCTCCTCACAACAGAGGTTCCGTTCTACTTGGTAGATGTATACGTATTCGTTTATTTTGTGTAAATTTTCAGATGCTTAAAAATCAGAACGGTACAACGGCAAACGGTGGAGTCATCAAACAAGACCCCAAGGTCACTGAAGGAAGTCGCGCCTGCGCCATCATGTGATTTCTACCCTCTTGCACGGGCAATCATTGTAGTACTGATGTAGTTTGATGTCATTAGATTCCTTTAGTTTTAAGGAGAGAACTTGTACAACTGAGCCAGACAAATTTACGGGAAACTTGAGAATCTTGTTTAACTGTGGCCTTGCTGGACGAGCCCTGAAAGACGAAATTTTACCGACGCGAAGTAGTGTTCTGCAGCTAATTATTGGCAGTGCTCGGTAATAGACTGATTATTAGATTAGGATCTTGTTGATAAAAAAAAAACCGACCTTGCTACACCCCCCCCCCCTCTCCTCCCCTACCTCGTGATCGATTTAACGCATTTGATGATTTGTTTGCACGTTATACTTAACCCCAGGAAGGAAAGGCAGCTAATTTGTTGCTGCATTAGCTTTCTGTTTTAGCCAGACTAGTGTCGATAATGGATATTTAGCAACTTTGGAATATATTGTACAAGGTGCCACTAGACAATCCGGGGAAAAATATTGTTTAACAGTGGGATAGGAGAATTCGAATGTAGATCAGTTGTTAGACTGTGAAGGTTATGCGATGTCGTGCGTAGGTAGTGTCAACCATTGGTGTTGATTCGCAAAAAAAATATTTAATACACTGATTAACTAAACACTAAGGTATTTGAAAGTGGAGAAAATATATTTTTATAAAATTTGGTTGAACCATAAAAGTGGAGCAAGTTTTCCTTTCTCGTCGGGGCTTTCTTCATTTCTTTTCTGTTATGTGAATTAGTGATTTAGGTGTTGAAAAGAAACGTTCGATACGTAGTTGGTAATATTTATTGCACCTTTTGTACAGATGTCATGTTTTGTAGTCTTAATCTTTTAATAAAACGAACACCTGTTGATTATTGTTGACAGAGTGGGGAGGAAAATATACCTTGCAGTTATTTCTGGGGAAGACACACTTAGGAAAAGGAATCAGGTAGACTATTTGCGCTTCGACACGAGGGTTCCTTCGCCAGCGAGAACATATGATGCTTTAAGCAACGCGAGTTGACGAGAGGTCGGCCAGAGGTCTAGCACTAGTGCCAGACCCCCGGCAAACCTCGCCTCAAATCTTCTCGGGGACGGAGATATGCACGGTCTTGCAGCGCAAATTATACTAGGGGCTGCTATGAAAACTGCCTCCTGACGGCATATCACAAAGGGGATCACATAAGAGATTAAAGATTATACGAGCCAGTGGGGTCATGTTACACACTCAAGGAAAAAGGCTGTGAAAGTCAAGGTTCTTGCATGTCACTTGCTACGGCATCACTCGCACAATGCGCGGACTCCATCCTGTGATGTGGTTGATATCTGGAGCGGATCTTGCTCGCTCTGACCTATGATAACTACAATGCAAAGATGAAGAGTTTTAAAAGATCTTCCAGGGTCTTTCGCTAGGAGAAAGTGAAATTGATTTCTGAGCAAACGAAAATTTTTAAACCGTGCTCGGGTAAGAAAGAGAAGATTGTCTCGTAGAAAAAACAATGGTTTTATAGGACGACAGTGTCGAAAGAAGTTCGTGCTAGATAGACGTTTGTTCACTTTGCCTCGTGATTGGGCTCGAAATCTTGTGTGATTTCCTGAAAACTCATCCAATCGCCTTTTTTTTTCAATCCTCGTCTCTGGCGCTAGAGACAGTTAAGAAGCGCTTTCTTTGAGTCTCACTGGTTCCTCTTCTGATTAGCAATTGTAATTTCTTCAGTTTAATTTTACGAGCCTCACTGGCAGAGTGCCAATTTGGGAACTTTCATTGAGAAATCCCTCGAAAAGGAGCAAAAACTCTTTGTTGATATTCAAGAGAAAGGACTACTGTCCAAATGACAAATTGGACCAAATCAAAACTCACCCTATGACATCTTCGATATCTTCAGGGATTTCCAGTCTAGGCGCCTTTTTGTCCTTAAATTTACTAGTAACGTTTCTGCAGATCTTGACAAACGACGCCTAAAAATCAAAAGAGGAATTTAAAAAAAAAGTAATTTCAGTTTCTCATTCTTTAATGGAAAGTTATAAAAACAACGATGCCTGATTTAACTGGAATTTGAATAAAGTTAGCATCATTAGAACTAATGTTAATAACCTGACTTGCACCCGCAACCATGTTCATGCTTAGGCACCAGGCCCCGGTTGTTCGAAGGTTGGATAACGCTATCCACTGTATAAATCTCTATCCGGTGGATATACCCTGCGAGCAGAACCTTTTTAACCTGTCCTCGAATCGAAAAGGGAAAAAGGCTCTGCCGACATCCTGTTGTTGCTCGTTTGAACATGCGCGGCGGTTGCCTAAAAACTGATCTTTTTCCACGCCCCCTTGAACTATTGTGGGCGCAGATATGGTCATCTGTTTACATGAAAAACAAAGGCGTGCGCACCAAAATTGGTTTGACTGGAGGCAAAACCGGCTTGAGTGGCCCGGAGTTTTGAGTTTTCGGCATTTCAAAGCAACAACAGGATGTCAGCAGAGCCTTTTCCCTTGGAGGGTTAAAAAGAAGAAAAGAAAAAAAGAAGAAGAAAAGAAGAAAAGGCTCTGCTCGCAGGGTACGGTGGATAGTGCGGAACCTGTTGCTATTGTTTATCCGCTAGATAGCAATTTCTTCGTTGGATAGCGTTATCCGTCCTTTATACAACTGGGCCCTGGTAGTTCCGCGTTACTATCCGAGTTTACAAAATAAAACGGCTGATATCACTGCTACTTCCTTTGTCTGGAATACGAGTCCAGCCTCATATCACCCTTCCAGAATTTTTTCAAATTGCCTGTACTTATTAATTTGATCTTCTGAGGGGAGAGAGGCATTGATAAAGTTATTGTCTTGCTACGAACACAACACACAGATCCAGGCCAGGGCTCGAGACCGGACTGCTCGTTACATCAACACGACGTCACACATTCTGCTCGCGAGGACCAAAATTTTGCCTTAAATTCATGGACGCCTATTCGTGTTGCATCCAATTTCAGTTGAGCGTGAGAGTAACCAGGGATTACTAAGGTTTTACTTTACTCCGCTTCGTGATTGGTCGAGAAAACTCATGCAATTTTCTTAGCCAATCAGAATCAAAATTGAGCCACCTGCGACTTGGTCACTTGTGATTTCCCGCGCTTGAAGCAATTTGCCTGATTTGCTTTGATATCTCATTAGCCGCTAATGGTATTTCCCCTTTATTTGATTGGCTGTTGTGACTACTTTAATTTGGTCTCACGATACTCGAACAAAAAGCACTCGAACTCAGTGTTTAAGGAGCTAAACGCTTAGCAAAGAGTAAACGCGGGAACTCAGTCTTGAGTGCTTCCCTGTCTACTTTATAAACTTTATAAACTTTAAACAACAAACATATGAAATACGTATATGAACTGCGGTTATGAAACGTATATGTGCACGATCCTTCGCAGTAAAGCACTATTTAAGCAATAGTGAAAATCAGACCTGAATTTCACTATTGCTTAAATAGTGCTTTACTGCGAAGGATCGTGCACATATACGTTTCAGTTCATTTCTATGTATTTCATATGTTTGTTGTTTGATTTATCATCTACGGGTCATGATGTCGAATTAATTTGATGGCCTGCTCCCAGTTGGCTTGTTAGCTCAATTGGTAGAGCGCTGCACTAGTATCGCAGAGGTCAGTGGTTCGAATCCCGTACAGGCCTGAATTTTTTTCAGGTCTGATTTTCACTATTGCTTAAATAGTGCTTTACTGCGAAGGATCGTGCACATATACGTTTATAAACTTTATAAACACACACAATACCGATCTTGCCACTTTCTTTCGAGGTCCTAAAGGAGATAATGTTCCTGGTTCCTCGTCCAGTTTGTCCAGTCCGGTTCCAAGTGAATTGCTCAGTACCTTCATCTGTAGGAATATGGAGCCGATATTTTGAAGTCCTTTGTTCAGGGATTCCCCAGAAGATACCCAAACTGCAGTGGCAGGAAGAAATAAAACTTGTTTCAGCTGGTCTACAGTTGCATTACAGACTGCTTTTTTGAACTTTGTTCCTTCAGAAAATGCTAGACGATCGGGAATTTCAAATTTCCCCTACCACCTCAGATTGTGACAACATGTCGAGTTAGACATCAGTGACGCTATCTATTCCAGGAATGAATTCAGTGGGACTGGAAACAAGCAACTGAGGACTGATAATAAGCTTAATTAACCCTTTTAAAAGTCATCAACCCGTCGCTGACGTATATAGAAATTTTTCGTTGGTAATCACGTGGTTGGTAATAACCAGCCGACGCAAAAAATCTGAGACGCGTCATAAAAACGATGATAAAGAAAAACGCTCCCCAATCTCCGGATTGTTTCGAACAATTCCTGACGATCGGGGATATTTACGGTTTATATTGCCATTATCTACTCAGCAAACCCTGTAACGGTCGGTAAATTTATCTAATTATCGAGTCACGGTTACAGAAAAACTGCTGATTTTATTTCCGCTCTCTCTTCGCACAGGTTCACACGAGCAAGGCATAATCTAAACACTAACCTGACGGTGCCAATGTCTTTCCAAGTTTTTCTGAAAGAAATAAAAATGAAATTAGCACATTAGTAGTACTCAGGAGGTTACAATAACAAAACCTGTTTTGAAACAAAGGCCTTTTAGCATTTAAGAGTGCGCACCGCTAAATTGCATGTGGTGAAAAACTGAACGCTAACCACTGACAAACAGCGTAAAAGGACGAGCTATACAGATTTTGAAAGACTAAAAACTCCTCAGTTTCTCCAGCTTCAGTCACGGCCATTTTGTTATTGAAGTGCGCATGCTCTATAAAAAGGTCTTCAGATATCTTACTTTGTATCCAGAGTGACGTATTCTCCTTGACGTAATGCTTAGGTTTCCGGCCGCTGTTATCGCGCAAGTCAATATCAGCTCCTAACATGTGAGGCGAAAAGAGAGACGATGAAAAAACGATGAGTCCAGATGCAATTAAGAAACACCGATCTGGGAGTCCAGTCCTGCGATATTCAACTTTATTTTACTGGGCCCCAGGCGAAACGACGGAACGCAAAACCTTTTTAACCCCTAAAAGTGACTGGCTTCTAGTTTCTCCTTACAGATCCACCCTTGAATAAAATGTATAGGTCATGAGAATAGAAGAAATGATCGCACATTGAAGAAGCTCTTGATTTTCAAACAATTTTTCCTTGTCGGTGCCATAGCAAACGTAAAAAAAAACAGTGCTGATAATATGAAGGTTAAGCACGAGATGAAAAAAGAGGGATTCTCTAACCACTATCAAAGAGAGAAGCAATGACGTTTTCTCGGCCTTGGATCACAGCGAGATGTAACGCAGTGTATCCCTGAAATGAAATTATTCAGATTACTCTACGTTCGGCATATTAGATATATTAATGAAAGTTATCTTGGTAAGGAAACTTCTCGGTTCTTCTTGTGCAAATTAGGCCACGGTTTTCCAAGTAAACGCCACCTAATAGAGGTTTACGACACAATTAGAAAGTCATAACTCGGTAAATAACTTATTATTCAAAGTTTATGGGCTTCTCTGCCAGAACACTAGCCCTAGGTTAGGAGAGCCGCCATTTTTTTTGCAGCATCTCCAACCTTTTCCTCCGCCCTAAAAGACAGTGCGCATAAAAAGGGGAAAAAAGACTAAACAAAGTATATTTACTATAAAATATCCACTTACCCCCTTACCAGTTCCATCCAAGACGACAAAGAGGAACCAAAAAGAAAAAAAAAGTTAACCGAAAGTTAGTTAGAATCGATCTGAGGGAGACATCCCTTATCATAAAGAAATAAGGCCTTGATATCGTGGAGATGGGCAAATCCAGGAAAGATAGCAAATCCGCTTAGGTGCAGTATACTCTCTTAGTTCTCTCTTCCAGATAATAATAATAATAATAATAATAATAATAATAANTAACACTGTTCCTGCATGTTCCCTGTTCAGAGAACCCATTCCATAAAAATAACCACTGACAGTTACATTACCATTCACCATAATCACTCTTTTTCTACTCAAAAAAATGTCCAAATTTGGCAATCCGAGCTTTTTCTTCGGCACTTTGTTCAGGGCTTTGAGTGCTTTCACCAAGTAAAATTGTTAAACCCTGGAAGCATTAATCTCGGAAAATCCAGACGATATTATTTCTGTTCATTATACTAAATTCATTACAATTGGACGGGGGAAACCCCAAATTTCCGTGAAAAGAACAATCATGCAGTCTTGAATATACATGACAATGCGAAGCTTAATTTTAAACCGAAAACATGGCTTATAACCACCAGCACATTATGTTTTCAGTTCTTACCATGAAACTAGGGAAGGCAGCAGAAGATGATAAACATTCCACAATCATGTCAGGATTGCGGGCGATTTTCATAACAATAATAATAATAATAATAATAATAATAATAATAATAATAACGAATTTTTATACAGGATTGAAAACCCATCAGTGTGTAACACTGTTGTCCTTGGGGTCCTGTCAAAATAATAAATAAATAAATAAAATAAAACTTAACAAGATATAATCATTGATCTTAAGGTCTAGAAAAGCATACAATAAAATAAAATGCTCTGAAAAAGGATACCTATAACCACGTTTAGATCGAATTTTTAACTAAAATAATCTCGCAATTTGTTCTTAAATTTCAGTCTCGAATCTAACGACCTTAGTTCAGCAGGCAGGTTGTTGAAAGTCTTTGCTCCTTGGTAATAGAAGCTCTTTTTACCAAATTCTAAACGTACTTTGGGTAATTTCACTGATATACCGTTATTCCTAGTGGCCTTAGAATGAACCAGTCTTTCGAAGTAGTTCTTAAAGGGTGTGCAAACATTATTCAGGAGACAGTCGAAAACAAACAAACAGCTTTTACGCTTGATCAAATTGTTCACGGATGGGGGATTAAAAGAACTATTGCCAATAACTTTAAAGCCTCGGCGTCCAAGAGGAGTTCATCCTCTTTTACTTTGTTTTGTTTTTTTGATCTAGCACCAATAAAGCTGTGAGCATGATTTAATAGAGAAAAAGTGACGGCAAACTCTTACCTTCTGTTCAATTGAAGAATCGTGAATAGAATGCCACGCAGACCATAATTACCAGTGTTGGAGAATTGTGGGAGACGGAAAGAAAAAGAAATAATTCAGCATCACATATGTAAATTTGTCCGAAAGAGAAAGAGAAATTATGAACGTAAAGAAATTGAATCCTTACTGATTTTATATTTACATCCATTCCTGTATTTATGAGAAGTTCAGCGATATCCTTCCTTCCTTTTTTGGCGGCCCAGTGAAGAGCAGTCTGCAAACAATCAAAATGTGAGTCCGATTGTTTAGTGTATCATGCAGAGTTATCTGCAATCTCATTTTTAGGGACCTAACTATGAGTCGAGAAGTGGGTCAGAATTGCAAAAGTCCTGGACAGGTCACATGATTTCGTTATTCTTTTGGACGAGACACATCACTCTCACTGTTTTTATCTTGATCCTGGTGTAAGTATTGGACAACTGACGAAAATGTTGGGTTCCCTGATCAGCCTCTCACCCAAATGAAGTAGTAATACTCCATTTCGTTCCATGCCACAGATGCACCAGCAGAATAAAACCACTTGACTCGTGCCCGGACTTAATTACGACTAAACTTTAGGCGCAGACGAGCTATAACTTAGGAAATTGAGTTTTTTTTTAATCGTAAAAGTAAAAATACTTACAAACTGGAATCAACACGCGCGAAGAGCCGTTTGTAAGAGAAAAAAAGAATGAAAAACGATTCATTAATAAACTGAAGTTTGATAATTATCGTAAGACAAAACGAATCAAATGGGAAATGCATTACTTACACCCTTAAGTTGTTCATCCACCATTCCAATGGTGATCATGAAAGAAAAAGATTGTTAATAGGGAGTGAATAGACGAATATGAGAATGCAGTGCTCAACCACTGGTAATTGCACATCGGCATCACAGAGGTCAAGACTCATGGGTTCAACTCCCGTACAAGCCTGAATTTTTCTTCAGGCTCTATTTTCACAACAACTGCTTATGTAGTGTTCATTTCTACGAAGATCACTCTCATATTTATTATTCTGGTTAAATGCTGTCAATAAATTATTGTCGGAAAAGAGCCCATTCCCTATGCGTATTCCCTGACTCGTTGTTGGTGTGAGGTCTGGGAAAGGGTGGACGAAATTTCACGATGACGCCATAGTTTATACAGGTGTTCAGGTCTGGCCGAACAAGGTCTGCTTTAGGAACCGGAAGGCTAGTTGGAACATATATATATATATATATGAAGTAATGGCTTACCATGACAAAATCCTTTGCATGTGAAGGACACGCAAATTTGAAGAAAAGAAAGAAGAAATAAGTTTTAGTACAACTGAATTTAATTAAAGAGAATATCCATTCATATTTTTCCTAAAATTATCTTAGTTTTCAACTACAACTTTTCCTGCGATTTCCAAACAGAAGGTATTCTACAATCATCAATTTTTTACAGATACTCTTTTCAGAAAAATAACAAGCAGCACGACACAGATTTCATTCTATTCGAACGAATCGCAGCCGCTTTTCAAAATGGCCTTTTGCAACTTAGCAGCATTCCATCTTACTCTGTCATATCATGCGGGGAGGAGTTTCACTCGCACTCCAAGCCCTCCTTCCCCCCCCTCCAGGTACGGCTTCGCTTATAACTTGGCTTTTCTTTAAACAGATTGCTACGAGATCTTCATTAACAGATTGCTACGAGTAAGAGACAAAGAGGAAGTTTTTTTTTTTCCTTTGTATCTCTGCGCCAGTTTGAAAAATCATTGAATAAGACACCTGTGTTGTTACAAGGCTTGGATCTTGTTCCAATAATGCAACAATTCCTGGGAGGTTCCCTTCGCTTGCTGACTGGTTCCATCTTCTTTCTAAGTATGAAACCTGGAAAAAGTAGTGCGGTATGTGACAGGTTGACGTGCGGGTAAAAGATAAAGAGCCGTGTTGTAGAAGAATTCCGAAACTCCGCGACCCAACTGTCCAATTTGGGCTTTTGATTGTTCTGTGCGTGATCAATTGAAAGACTCTACCTAACGTGAACTACAGCTACCAAAAAAAGCTCTCAAAAATGAGAAAAATTGATCAACTGCTCACTGTTGAACGAAGAACTAAGCATTTGGTGATAAATCGTCTATCAAGTAAGCTATCATACCGTTAATTGTTCACTGTTTCTTCTTTCTTGAAGATTCGCCTGTCCTGTTGAGGCTAAAAGAAAAGGTCGATGATCAAAACAAGGATTCTTAAACCCATGCACTCTTAAGATTTTAATGAAAAATTCTAATTTTAACTTCTCGAAACTTTCTCGCATATCATTCAAAATAATGTAAACTTAAATGATCTCAGGGTCGCCTGGAGACAATTTGCTGTGGGCGATCGAACGTGGCGATCGCCTCCCGGTTAGCTCAATTGGTTAGAGCACCGGATTGTGTTGTGCGGGAGGTCGAGGGTTCGAGCCCTGGCCGGACCAATACTCATGGTCTTAAAATAACTGAGGAGAATTTGCTACCTTTCTATAATATCAAGGAATGGATAGATATTCTAGTCTTCTCGGATAAGGACGAATAAACCGTAGGCCCCGTCTCCTGCAGGGTTAGGGGTAGGAGACGTTAATTTCCCACGCACGAGATTACTGTGTGGTGGATGTCCTCCCCTGGGGTGGGATGGGCGAGAAGGTGAGATCGTTACATGGACTGAAGCCGCTGCCAGAGGCGCCTGATAATGCTGACGTCCGATCTCAACCTTATCATCATTGTAACTAAGTACGTCTGTTGTTACATAGGAAGAGTCTCAGATCTAAGGATACCAGTGCATTGGCAATTAAATTAAATTGTATACATACCATCCGTATTTGTTTGAAAACCCAATTCTTCCAAAACCTGCGAACGACAATTATCGGGAAATGGTTGACAAGGACTCCACTACTGGACAGAACGAGGGGTAGTCTCATAAAGTCCTGGCTCAGGCAAAAACTAGAATTCTGCCAAGTTGTTCGAAGGCCGATTAGTGCTAACCCATGATTAAATTTTGATCCAGGTTTCCATACCTCGGTGTTCAAAAGCCGTTTGGGATAATTTTCCCAATTCTTTTTAGAGCATTCAATCATCAAAATGTAGACAAAGAGAATTAAACTGAATTTTCTTTTAAAGCTTTCAGATCTGAAATCAAATTTCACACTAACCCTGGGTTACCTAAATTAACTCACCTTTGAACAACCCCGGGCGGGTCTCTAATGACAGTAATTGATAAGCCGTGAGACGAATTTACTGAAATAATTGTCAAAAATGCTTTATCGTGATTACCACCAAAAGCTCTTTTCTTATGAAACCTAAATGAAATGTACAAGTAATAAAAGTTTACTTAGTTTATATATTCACCTTAATTAAGTAATTTGTTTGATTGATTTGCATTCAGTGATCGGTCAAAGAGTTGATTGAAACCAAGGAATGAGCGAGTGTAATCTTCGCCGACTCGAACATTGACGACCAAACGCTTATTTTGCTTAACTGAAGTCCTTTTCTGAAGCTATCATATAATAACTTCCTCAGCGCACAATTTTCATTAATATTATCCTTGTTGCTAAATGTCCAATAAGGTTTCTAAAGATGAGGGAATTTATGTAATGACGCGACGGATTAAGTCTAGTTTAAAAACATGTTTTTGTAGTGCAGTTTCCTATACCACCTACCGCTTTCGATGCCCGGGACATTTGTAAAGGACCACTTGACAATCAAAGAGTTGCTTTGCTTTGTGTTACGTTGTTCTTGTTCTTTAGGAGTGCCTGCGGTCTGCACGACGTATTTATACCCGGGTGAGGTCGTTGCCAGATGGGCTATTGATATGCGCGCATGTAATTAAACTGTCGTTGTTGTAGTCTTTTTAACATCTGTTTACCGATGCTTGTGGCAGACAATAGTCACAATACATAGGTATAGTTCTTTCCTGTGCAATTATAAATGCTATACAAAGACGTTTAAACAGGACTTACAATCCCAGCAGGAAACCGAAAATAGTTTATTAGATATGCCAAAAAAGCTCCATGCTGTACGTTACCTTATCGAAAGTTTTCATTTTCCTGTGGTTATAATGAATGCAAACATGTAGTTCATGCAAAGTAACAGAAACAGACAAAACACGATTGACTCGATCAACTTCAGGAGAAAATGTTTTTCCTAAAATTTATCGCTTGAATTAAACTATTCGAAAACAGGTTCTCAAGCAAGTGGAGGGGATGGGGGGGGGGTTGCTCATTGCGAATAAGCATTGTACTCGAGGAAAACTGAAATTCAACTTTTGGCACCGATTGATTCATATACTACGCTAAAAATACTTTATGTTCACTTTAATAAGCATATGGAAGACACATTGGCTGGGTAGTTAGCTCGCTGAAGGTCCGGATTTCAGCTTTGAATGGATAAATTATGTTGTGTTTTGAATAAGACAGATAATACAGTATATTGGTTTCCCCCAAAGAGGTACCAACAAACTATCCACAGGCTGTCTGTGATACAAAGCAGAAGAGGCTTTGATTTGTTGTGTCTTTCAGGCGGGTGGAGGCAAGCGCGAGTTGAGAACAAAGCGCGAATCACGCGCGAGGAGAGCCTGAGAAGCACTCCTTATCTCGCGTGTGACTCACCCTTTACGCTAATCTCGCGCTTAGCCCTCGCTTGACTGAAAAACGGAAAGGTAACACCGCTGCAACAGCCTGTCCCGCATGGGTACCTCAAAATTACTCCAGTTGTTTTACGGTACAGAAACCAGGAATGATTCTGGTGGAAATGGGTAACTAACCTCCTGACCTTATGATATCTCAGTTTTCATGGCCGCAGTCCTTATTATGATGATGGAAACTAATGTGGCGCGAGCCTCGTAGCGTGGAAGTCGCAACAACTACCATAACAAGGAAGAATTAAACAATTATTTGTAAGTCTGTAGGTCCCTTAAACATTTTCCTACAAATTTAGGAGAGACAACTAAAAATCAGCTCATGACAAGTACTTTGTTCGTGCTGTACACCTATGGCTATGCCTTGAAAATGTTCACCGCAGAACAAAGAATACAGGCACTTTTCATTAAACACCACTGTAAAGATGCTACTTAAGCTGAAAGCAATGAAGATTTTACACCATGTTGATTATGTTCTAACAAACTGTTTTTATTATAAGCAAAAATGATCTGCTATGATAATAATGCTAATAATGATAATAATGATAATAATGCCATGTTGATCATGTCCTAATGGAATGTTTTTATCATTAGCAAAAATGAACTGCTGCTTATGATGATATCCACGATGATCGAGATGACTACAGTTAATTCCATCACAAGGAATATGTTGCTGACTCAGTTGCAATTTGCCTGTTCTACAAGATGTTTCTCTTTGATATGAAGAAACTACATAGGACCCTTGAGAGTTTACATCAAGGAATTTTAGAAGTAAACTCGAACCTCTCCAAGAGTGGGGTAAGACATATTCTTGTAATCAACCAAAAATGTACTGTTGAACAGATCAACAGGTACTGCCGCAGTCCCTCAGAGTTGTCAGTATCTTGATCACTGTCAAAGGTTTGCAATGTCTTCAACAGTCTTTAGCAGCTCTTCTTGTGTAACATCTGTATTTGGTGGAAAATTTTTCTCTTTGCTGATCTGTACCAAAAGTAAAACTCAGTATCAGTTGATGTGCAATTTTAAAAACAGCATAAACAGAGCATGGCCTAAAGAAGAGATTGGGATCAGTTGTAGATAAACTAAGTTGGTACATTAGCTAGTGAGCAAGGACCAACTTTTTAACTCAATACTTGGCATTGGTCATAGGTCTATTGTGTAGGAGTTGGGTAAAAGAAGGCCACGAAGAAGGGATGTGAAATTCTACCAAGAACCTGCACCTTGAATGATTCAAGATTTGATTATCTTCCAGCAGTTGTGGGCCAAAAGGTATATAAATTGCACATACCTTTAAATTTGCTTGCATTTCTGTAGAAACAGATTCCCTTTGAGCTCTGCTTTTAATTGATGTTATGTTATGAACAGCAGCTGTAAAACTCTTGTTAACTTCTTCAATCTGTTGGAATGTTTTCTCTTTCAACTGTGTGAAGAAACGAGAGATAATAAATGCAGCCACGAACATGCTTACCAGTTTGATTTCACACTTTAAAAAAGATTACATGAGTCAAGCCATTGTCACTAAACAAGGCTGACTGGTGAAAATGTTCATACCATGCTCTTAAGACATAATGTCACGGGAGAATTTGACTAGAATGTAATTGGTTTCAACTAAATCACTCAGCCTTCATCAATCTTTTGGAGTAAGTGGTCAACAAACTGATGAAGGCTGAACAATAGACCATTTCCTAATTACCCTTGGCCTCATTTTCAAAACGAGTCCTGGTGCTCATCCTTTCATATGATAATAAGTTTTCATTCGCATGCAAATTAAACTAATTTTCACAAGAATGGTTGAGCACCAGGCCTCGTTTTGAAAAAGAGGACAAGGGTAATTCAGAAATGGGCTATTAGGTTGATATATTTTAGGTGACCTTTCATGCCAGCATAATTCATCTACGTAAAAGACCATTCTTTTCTCAGCTTTTTTTTTTTTCATCCTTGCTTTTATGTATTCAAAATGATGGCTGCTAGAGCTGTATCCTCACTGTACCAACATGTGGGCATAGTTGATAAAGACTATTCTTTAACTTCTCCTGTGGGTAAGGGGAAGGGGCTAGGAGATGACCATTTTAGCAAAACAGCCATTAACAATACACATATACCACTGAACGTCCACTAGTACACTACCAACAATTGAATGATAGCTAATGATATGCTACCAACTGTTGATCCTAATATAATGGTCAGTGTCAGCTGAGTGACGACCAACATAGTGGTGACCAATGATCTACCAACTTAAAGAAAATCGTGACCAATGCTTGGCTGACTCTTGGTCAACATGTTGACTAAGTAGTGGCCAATGAACTGACTGAAACTGCGTCAACATGTTGGCTGACAGTATCAACCAATACACAGCTGACAGATGGCTGATGCCTTAAGTACAAAGGATCCACTTCAACTCTTTGACATGCAGTCTTATTCACATTATTTCAGTTGAGTTGAGAGTTATGTCTCAGAATTTAGCTGGCTGGAAACAGTTTTCCTACGCTCTGACCGGCTATCTTCAGCGCGCTCAAAAATCAACTTTCCTCCTTTGCAGTTGAATGATTCGCACAAGTGTTGACAAAAGGATTGAAGTTTGAAGTAGTGGGTGTGACATGGCAACCGCTGCGAACGCTTCACACAAATCACGACCCGGTTTTCTGTCTAGCATATTTTCATCGAAACTGTAACATGTTCAGCATCTCCGTTTACCATTTTTAGCGTCTTATTTTGAAAAATGATAAGAAAGATACCTGCTTTTTACGAAGGGTGTTCTTCTTAGCCTTTTTGACCCCGGAACTGCTTTTACTTTTTGCTTGAAGTTTGTTTTTATGCTTCGAATGCACGTGCGTTTTTCCAGGCGCCATGTTTTTTTTCGTAACATTTTACAAAGACATCGCTGGTCAGCAAGACTATTTTTTTAAAATGCTCCCATTACATCCGGGACTTTGTAGCCCATGTCCCTCCCACTGCACTTGCGCATTACTACCCCGGCCCCCTTCGACTGTCTTCGTGGAACGTGGAGCGATTCTACAACTATATTCCCTTCTTGTGAAGGCGGAGTTTGATCAAAGTTCTTTGATCAGGTGAGTGAAGATAAAGAACAGGTTATGTGGCTTCCGTGGCCTTTCTTTCGAATAGCGTTTGCAATTGACTCTTTCTTGTTAGAGGCGGAAGGACGGGGCAAGAAACTCGATCTAGGTTATCTTAGTACTTGCCGTGTCAGACACGACAACTGTACAATTTTCAAACAAGAATTTTCCTCAATGGACTGTTTTTTACTTTGCGCTGAAGGAAACTCTAGGCCAATACCAGTTACGCCTTGTTTGTACTCGGTGAAGCATAATGTTTGAAAATCAAACCATAGTTCTGTACGAAGGCAAATATAAACTTATTCAACTGTGCATTTTGTTAACCTCCTCTCTCTGCCGACCCCACTTGCTGCAATTACACGAATGCTTTGATGGATAAACCGTTGATAAGATATCAACATTTCGCTGCTTTTAAAGTTGTTTTTAAAGTAATTATTGCGGCTGTTTTTAAATTAAACTGTATATTGTAATTTATGTATCAATGTTCGTGTCGCTTTTGGTGGCGAATTTTAATTCAACCACAAGCCAATCTTCGATTGTATCATACTGAGTTTTGTTATCGTTCACTTTCGTTGCACTGGATATTTTGAGTAAAGTTTGGCACATGAGATTTCAGTTTTAATTCTCAGAGCAATATTAAAATTGTTCGGAAGTATCTCTGTGTAATGTTAATCTCCAGGCTCATGAATATATACATCCCTAGTTGTATTGTATTTGATTTTGATTTTTACTGTGGCTTACAATTGAGGAAATGAGATAAAAGTTGTATTGTTAAGTACAGTGGAATCATAAATATCAAGGGCATTAAAGGGGGACAACAAAAGCCATGTCTAACGCCAAATTAATTGTCAAAATTCTTTTCACACAAATTCTATTATGGTTTATGCTTGTGATTTTCCTTGTAAAATTTACATTAAAGAGCTCTTAAAGATCAATTAATTGATGAAAATTGGGTTTACAGTTGAATTAGGAACTATTCACTTTATGGCATCTCAAGAGATGCCTGGTGATTGCCATAGAAGTTGTTAAATCATGTTAGATAGATTTGAGATGCCTTGTGATTGTCATAGAAGTTATTGAATCATGTTAGATAGATTTGATAAACTTTTTTCTATATTTAATCTTAAAAAATAAATTTCTTACGAGGTAAGAATTTCTGATGAGATCTTGGGAGCAAAAGGTTGCACAGACACAGTTCTAGATTACATTTCCTTTGCATTTTCACATATGTTATAGATGACTGAGTAAATTGTTTGATTACTTTGTTCACAGTAGCTCCTGAATAAAGGCCTGACTATGCCAGCTCCAGGGAAACTAAGGGACCTGATACGAACAATAAGGGCCGCAAGGACAGCTGCAGATGAAAGATCAGTGATAGCAAAGGAGTGTGCCTCCATCAGAGATTCCTTCAGAGAGGAAGATAATGATTTTAGATGCCGAAATGTGGCCAAGCTTCTGTATATTCACATGCTGGGATATCCTGCTCATTTTGGCCAGGTATAGTAAAAAAGCACCTTACACTTTATAGGGGAAGTAATAAAGGGAAGATCTTGTAATAGTGCACATTTTTTATGTTAGTATAGGCATCAGTGGTGTAATAATTAGCCTGCCTTTTTTTTTTTTTTTTCAGCAGAAGGCTTGAGGGTACAAACTATGAAGTTTGTTTTTTTATTTTTTGTCTGTTTGTTTGTTTTTTCACTGCAGCTGCACTCAGCCATGTCTGGTTTCTTTTTTAAGCTGAGGTTTGAATTGTGAAAATTTGGTTCTGCTTCTTTTACCAAATAGTTACCCACTTTCTTTCACAGCTGGAATGTTTAAAACTTATTGCCTCGCCCAAGTTTACAGACAAAAGAATAGGTTATCTAGGAGCCATGTTGTTACTTGATGAACGACAAGATGTCCACCTCCTGGTGACAAACTCTCTGAAAAAGTGAGTAAAAAATGTCAAAAAAAAAAATGTAACTGTGTGCCAAAAAAAGTATTATTTTATCTGGAGAATTGCTGCTGATATTATACTATTTTCTCATTATATATTAGTGATTTGAGTCATCAGAACCAGTTTGTTGTTGGTCTGGCACTTTGCTCATTAGGAAAGTAAGTTCAACATTGTGTTTCCTTTGTGTGTGTGTGTGTGTGTGCCATTCTGGAAAATATTTTGGTGATTTAGAAGTCCTTATAATTAACATTGGGTTTTTTACAGCATGAATGTAACTCTCCTTTAATACTACAGTAATATATTGAACCCTGTTGTTGTTTAATTTCTAAGAGTTTTAACAATTTTCCTTGCATTACAGCATTTGTTCTCAGGAAATGAGTCGTGATCTAGCAGGCGAAGTGGAAAAGTTGCTCAAGTCCACAAACTCTTACTTGAGGAAAAAAGTAAGTGAAATGTTGTTTTCCCATATTAATAGTTTTGTTTGGCACAAAGTGACTAAAAAATGTCTTTTAGGGCTTCACACCCAACCTACCTCACTCAACACTTAGAATGTACCTGCACTTGAACCCCAACATCTTCTGAATGGAAAATGGGAGGGAAATTTCTATCCTCAGGTTATAATGTAATTGTTTGATGTGTTTGTTTTAGGCAGCGCTTTGTGCAGTGAGAATAGTTCGAAAAGTTCCGGAACTCATGGAAGTGTTTGTCCCCACAACAAGATCTCTTTTGAATGAAAGAAATCATGGTTAGTACCAACAAGTAAAGTAGTCATGGTCAGAATTGCAGCCTTGTGGCGACGGTTGTAACTTAGTCATGGCTAGCAACTCTAAGTTCTCAAGCAGCACGCTGGTGGAAATCTTGAGCCCTTTTGTAGCAGGTGTCTTGAAGCATTGCCCATGCCACCCCCTTCTGTTCTTTCCATTATCTTAGTCAGTGTTAGTAACTGTTCATGGCCTCCACCTTTTGATTATAAAAGTGCTGTAGTTACACGAATTAGTGCTTTCAATAAGACCCAGAGCTCCGGTGGGTATTCTGTTGTGAGTTGCCTGGTATATTTCACCATGCTCAAGTTGCAGTCACCACGCTAAGTCACAGTCACCACGCTAAGTCACAATCAAGTCGCTCTCCGGCAGGTGTTGTACCGAGGTAGCCACCTATTTCAAATCTTATCGAAAGCACTGATGAATACAGGATTGTGTTCTAGACTTGAAAGGAAGTATTGATAGATTACATACAGGTACCTTGTATAGGTCAAGTCAAATACACATATACTGGCCAATACTGATAGGCAGCCCTGCAATGAAGTGTGTTATTTATAGTTATTATTTGAAGGAACACATTTCAACTTAAACTATTCTTTTGACCTTTTTGACCAGGAGTTGCAGTGTGTGGAATTGCACTTGTTACTGAGATGTGTCGGGTAAACCCTGAGACACTCTCACACTTTCGAAGGGTAAGTTTTTGTAAATCTTAAATAACAAACAAAAGTCAGCTGAACAGCTGTGGTGTCTGTGCAATTTTTATTGTTCTATGATCTACCACTTTGTAGAGCAGGAAGTGCAAGGAAAAAAAAAACACAAATTAATTTCCTGTGCTGTACTTATAGTTGGTCATCTTATTTCTGATTGGCTGATTCTTCTTCCCCCTTATTCAATACCAGAGAAATACTTATGGTGTTCCTGGTTGTTTAGGTTTTATAGTTGTGATCCATTGTGCAGTTTTAAATTTATCTATTATTGTTGATAAAGTTGCTGTTATTAGTGAAGACCACACCTAATCTGCTCAAATCATACCATTTGCAAGAATTGTTCATGGACTGTCTGAGACTAATGAAGTTTATTTTGTTTGTTTGTTTGTTTACAGCATGTTCCAATCTTAGTGAAGACACTTAAGAATCTTGTAATGTCAGGATATTCTCCTGAGCATGATGTTTCTGGAATAAGTGATCCATTCATGCAGGTAATAAACCTTGATTGTTCTCCTCTTGTTTTAAATGCAAGACACACTATTGAGGCAGACATTTCCTTTATAAGCCCTAGAACTTGGTGGAATACTATCTTAAATTCTGACCCCGAGTTTTATCGTTATTTATTTTTATAAATTGTAAAAAGTTTGTAAACAGTTTCTGAAAAACCTCACGAGGATGTTACTATTAAAGATGATAAGGTGTAAGCACAACAGGTAAAATAAATTTTCAAACTGGTAGAGCAATCGTTTGTCCATTAAATTTTCAAGAATTCCAAGTGGTTTTAAGCAGTAATAAGATGTACTACAGACAGTCAGTTAATGGAAAGGAGAACACTGGTGATCTTGTGTATAAAAGTGTCAGTTTATGGGCAGTTTTCCTCTCCTGCTGAATGCCAGCCACCAACAGATTTTGTGGTGATTTTTCATTTGTCTTTTGCAGGTAAAACTTCTGCAACTGTTGAGAATGCTTGGTAAAGATGAAGAATCAGTCAGTGAACAGATGAATGATGTGCTGGCTCAGGTGTGTAGATGAAGTTATTTCTAGTGGGAACAATGAATGAGTCTTTTGTTCAGTTTATTCAACAGTATGTGTTAATGGGTAGGAGACAGAGTGGTGCAATGTTTAGTGCACCAGGACTCAAGGTTGAGAGGTCCAAGGACAAGGCCTGGGGCCCATTTCTTGAAAGTCCCAGTAACTTTACAGGCCCGTAACAATGTTTTAAAATCAAAATTTAAAGGATAGGAAAGCAGGTTCTGGCACCCAAACCAGTCCTTTTTGTTTCTTTAGCTGATAGTTTTATTGCATCAGTTTCAAAACTTTTGAAATCAAAATTTAAAGGATAGGAAAGCAGGTTCTGGCATCCAAACCAGTCCTTTTTGTTTCTTTAGCTGATAGTTTTATTGCATCAGTTTCAAAACTTTTGAAATCCCCATCTTGAATAAAAACAGAACAGCTTTACGGGCCGGTTAAGTTACCAGGACTTTCAAGAAATGGACCCCTGGACTGGTCATTGTGTTGTATTTTTGGGAAAAATGCTTCACGCTCACAGTGCCTCTCTTCACCCAGGAGGAAATGGGTACTCAGAAATTATCAGGGGAGCATGATGAAATGCTGTTAAGGGGGGGGGGGCAGGGTGACTGACATCCCATGTAGGGGAGGGGAGAAGTAACACTCTTAGTCACCTCTTGCTATGCAAACTTGGGTAACCTCTCTCTGTCTTCTTGGGTCACTTTGCTCAAGTATAAACTTTGCCTTTGACCTACCTATAGACTGTATTAAAGGGTATCTCCACCCTTGTGATGAATAGTTCCAAATGTACTTCTCAATAGATCTGGCATTAAAAAAAAATTACCTTACCAAGCAATGTGATTTTTTATCCTTTTCCAAAGAAGGTTCTAGCAGCAACCTCGAATTTCCTGCAGCTGTCATCTTGAATAGTGCACAGTGTACTCTAGGCTGATGATGTGTAATGGTTGCCCCATTCACTCGCCTTCTAGTTTTTCACTCTTGATGATGCTATATTCCTGTTGTCTGAAGAAAATTTTGGTAAATATGTCATGGATCTTCCCCATGAAGTGTTCGATCAGCAGTCAACATTTTCTGAATAGAAACCTGATGCTTCTCAATATTCTCCATCTTCTACTTCACTTTCCTGTCTCTCTCACTTGAAGAGTGCTCAGGCTCGAACTGATGGGGAAGGTCTGTGACATGTTCACTAGAGTGAGAGGTCCCCTGGAATGGCCATTAAACATGAGCACAATGGCACATAATAGACCAACAATAGCATCAGTGCAAAGTACAATGGAAGTCATTGAACAATGCCTTTTCCATGTATTGATAGGTATCTGTAAGTCTACAGGATGTTGGCATTGTACCAGATGGCTTACTATGATAACAAAGTTTATGGAAATGTTTTTTCCTGTTGGAACTAAAGACTGTTACCTTGGAATATTTTAAGGATAAGTTTTGACATATTGGTTTTCCCTTTATTTTTGCATGTAACAGGTTGCAACAAACACAGAAACTAGTAAAAATGTTGGCAATGCCATTCTGTATGAGACAGTTCTGACCATAATGGATACAAAGTCAGAGAGTGGGCTCAGGGTATGGTTTCTTGAATCAATATTTTTTAAATAGAGTTTTCTCTGTTTCACATTTTTTTTATTTTACAAAAGGAAAAATCACATAATAGATATAATATTACTGTTCATATATCTTCTTACTCAAGGCTGTGCTATAAGGATAATTGAAGGGAGCCCAGTGCTCTGAAACTGTGAAATCCAGGGTGCCGAGCATATGCTTTTTTTGAAAAAACTAAGATTCCTGAGTTGCCCAAGGGCAAAAGTAAGGTGCCAGGGGCCACCAGGCGCTGCTAGACCACAGCCCTGTTTACTCCAGAATTTCAGAGTCTCTGAATGTCAAAAAGAAAAATAAAACAAAGTAGCTTGCATGATTTTGTTTTTGAGTTGAACAGTCTTAGGTGGTTCAATATTTTAGAAGTGGTGATTTAAAGGGGACTAGAAATTTACCAATCTTCAATTGCAATCATCTTCTTGTATCTTGTAGGTTTTAGCAATCAATATTTTAGGACGCTTTCTTTTAAACAATGACAAAAATATAAGGTGAGGTTGATTTTGACGGGTTTTGTTCAGAAGTAAAACTTATTCAACTCAGTTGCATATTGCTGTGTTGGTACTTGACTGTGCATGTAATTTTTCTGCACATGAATGTATGTGTTTGTTTGCTCCATTCATTTGTGAAGTTGTCACAAAAATACCCTCAGTGAACTTTTGAGTTGAAAAATTTGTTCCAGTGTTGGAATTATATTTTTGACTTTTTATTGGTCATTGTATTGCAGATATGTTGCACTGAACACACTCTTAAAGACTGTAACAGCAGATTATAATGCTGTGCAAAGACACCGTACCACAATTCTAGACTGTTTGAAGGATCCTGACATTTCCATCAGAAGGTAGATAGTGCTTCGAATATATATTACTTGTATATATGCTGCGAAGGTTATCTACAAGTGTTGTTTCAGTGTGAATGACATCCTCTCTCACCCTACGAGAGATAAGCATGTAATTTTGCCCAACACCTCTGAATCAAGCATTGAGGTCTTGAGAATATAGAAAATGATCACCAACTAAAAAAAGCTCTTAATAGTTAAACAATTCTTTTTATTAGCACCTTAGGAAATGTATAGAGAACGGCACAGTGAATATGC